TTTGTAAAAAAATGAAACGATTCAGTTAGATCAACGTGGGTGGGGATCAAGTTTCTACTGGATTTACTTTGGAAGTCGGACTTTTTTATTGAAGAGTCTGCAGTTGCGTAAAACCGTTCATTTTGAAATCAAACGACGAAGCGCGCAAAGTTCAGGATGCCATCTGATTTGTTGAAGCTTTGATGAAAATTTGACAACATTTAGGGCGCTACTCTTCTTAACTGAATGCAGAACTCTAAACTGGTAGATTATCTTGTGTTTCTGAGAAATTTGTTTTTAAAAAACTCAATTCGAAACGTGTCCCGAATGAAATAGTTCTTTGAACAAGTGAAGATAAAAGGCAAATATGAAAAGAGAATCAATTTACTGGTGGAAAACTTTAATCACAGACGAGTCGGAATATACGCAACATGTATTGCACCGGGTGAACATCAAAATATTTACTGGATTCTTGTGCAAACAACAACAACAACATGTTTGCTTGGCTATTCAGTAGCGTCGATCAAATCAAAGGTCGCATCGCTTGATATTGCGCTTGTTTAAACCAAACATACACAGTGAGTTCACAGCAAACAATCTACAAGTGCACATGCTCGAAGAGGGCGTTATTGGACCTGCTGGTAACACTCTTTGCAGTCTTCTCGCACCATGACAATGTTAAAGTCGCTCTCGTTGGGCGCCTGACAATGACGGCAACTCATCTCGTAGTTTTTGCACTCCCCAAACCTATAAACCGCCCAAAACGTCCAGAAATCAGCTCCCCAGAGCGCGAAGCTTCTCCCCACTCACATGCATTGAAAGCGAAGATAGCTCTTCTTCAGCTGGTAGCCAGGAGTGTAGTCAACTTCAGCCGGTGGATACTTTCCAGTCTTGCACAGATAATCACATCTGGTCATTTCGAAGCACTGCTCTGGTCGATTACATGTGGGCACCATGCAACAAGTGGACGATGGGTACCGGCCATCCTTGTCCATGATCAAGTTGCCATAAATATCATAGGTCAAGGTGCGTGCCGTTGATCGGCCGATTAGCAGCGCCAGCAGAAGGACCAGTAGATTTTTGAGGGCGATCTGGAATCGTCACAGTTCCGGTTACCCGTTCCCATGGCCATGCGAAAGGTGCAATAAAAAGCCCCCCGAAATCGCCTCTAACTATATACAAGCGTAGTAAAATTTCGATAAAGGGCCCATTAACCGAATTTATGGGACTCGAGATAAGCCCACAAGAAAAATTATGTCTTATTTATTTTCGCAGCGGTTGTTTCTGTTTTTGGTTTCGGTTTCGGTCTGCTGGATGGCTTGGAAATTGTTTACATACAAACTAATCGATGTAGTGAAGTGAACTTGGCCACATATTGATAAGTTTGGATGGTGCCAAGGTCAATGTTAACATTGGCTGTTGATTAGTGTTGAAGCCCCAGCTGATTAGGTGGCAATGTTTAAGAGAAGGCACTGAAGTCGAAGAACGTTTCAGTGGCAAGATTTATTCCTTTGAGGGAGTTCGAAATCTTCTTAGCAAAATTTTTAAATTGTCGAGTTTAGTGGGAAATTCGACTTCGGGGCAAATCTATAGGTTTTAATTTATGAAAATCGATGCACTTTTTCAGCTTTATATAGGGGCTCATTCGGCAATGAATCAATCTGCTTCTTTCGTAGACTGTTAGAGGAAGAAATGGGCGTTCATTTGCTTACTTTAAAATCCACTTCTTCGAATGATATAAAATTTGCTCCACTCATCCACTAAAACCTTCCGTTATAAAACGCTGAAGTATATGCAATTCGCAGTTTCCGTTTGAGGAATCGATAGTTAGAAGATGGCAATGTAAAAGGGACAAATTCTGTAAATTTTTTCTCAACTTTATTATGGTTTAGAGAAGAATTATTTTGGAAAAACTCGCATGTCCAAGTGGTTTGAAATTTCATTTGCGCACACACTAAACCTTACGTTATAAAACGTTGCGGTCGTCAATGCCCGTCTTCTTTTGAAGAAATGACACCTGGAAGATGGTAATACTAAATAGAAAAATTGCGCAAAATTCCAACTTCAAGAATTATTGTAGGAAAACTCACTTGGCCTCATCATGTGAAATTTTGTTTACGAACACACTAAAACTTGCGTGTTGAAACGCTGAGGTCGGCGACTCAAGGCACAGTTTTCTTTTGAAGAAATTAATTTCCTACAATTACCAAACGTGAAATATTTGAATTGACTAAAACATTTTCTTCGCGCAATCAGTTTCGCGTGCTAGTTAAATACGAATCTCGTTCTGCGTCCTTTGATAGCAATGTGTTATAGAAGAAGAAAAGAAAATAAGGCCCGTTTCTTGCTCCAACAGACGCAAAAGAAACAGGTTGCCACTTCTTACCGTTCATGAGAAACTAATTTTGAAATTGTCACTTTGTGAAATAAAATTAAACGGGTTTGGCAACGATGGAGGTAAATGGTTAACAATCGGATCTGGGATTATTGCAAATTTAATGCGGAATTCAGAAATGAATAAACTATTTGTCGACGAAATAAATGCCAAAAGTAATGCCAGTTTTAGCATTAAATAGGCAGATAAATGGGACGCCACTTTCGATTTTGTAAATGTGCAAAATTTGTCCTACCATTGTGAATGAAAATCCAACACTAATCACGAAACACTTCACAAATGAGACTGTTTGCACCCATCAGAGCGCTTACGCTAACATCACTTATCGCCATACTCGTCATTATTTTGACGAATTAAGTAATTAATAACATTTCGGAAAACTTGCCCTGAAAGGTCAAATCGATGTAAACTGGGGATAAAGGAAACAAATCTTTTTTATAGCCGATCTTTAATTGAACATTAAAAATCCGCCGGAACGAAATATCAATGTATCTGTGCATCATAGAACCATTTACCATGCAACTTTGATTTTGCACGCTGAACATTTACTTATGCAAGGTGCCAAAATGCGGCAAAACATGAGTATTTCTAAATGGCCTGAGTGATGGTGGTGCAAGCCGTTAATTTGTGGCAAAAACATAGTCGATTGTTGAATCTTACGGTGTCTTTGCGAGAAATACAGGCAACTTATGGAAGCCTAGTGGGCTTGGTGTTGCTGTCCCTTTATATTCTACTCAGTAATCCAACATTGAGGCACACCCATGTTCTGCTGCAGTAAAAAAGTGATGATACATGTTGCCTACAACTACACAAATCACATTCGCTGGATGCCGTTTCCTGACCGGTACATGGTAGAGCAACGGCCATACTTTTGCTGAGCCACACCATGTACATGATGAGGAAACGTGCATTGTGAGTCACGCAAGTTAAAACAATACGTGAAACACCATACTCTCATTCATCATACATTCATACCTAAATAAAATTGGTGCTACGAACAATGAGGTGAATCCCGCGCAGATGCTACGGGGATGTCCAGTTTTCGACTGTTCTGGCGTCACTGGTACTACAGTCCCCAAATTAGTCCAGGATGGTTCGGAACTCATTTGTGTCTATGAAGGCTAGACATAGACGCTTGAGTAGCTCGTTGTAGGTGGGCTTGTCTACTTTGTTGGTCACGTACGAGCCTGAGCAAGGATGCCAGACTGAGAGCGTTCTCAGTTCGTTGATCGCCTCTGGCAGGGGAGCGAAGAACTTCAACTGCGACACACAATGTAGCAGCTGGAGATGGAACATCCGATAAACCTGTTGTTTGAAAATATCGAACTTGAAGCTGGTCTGGTCCATCTTGTACATTTCTAGTTCGATCGAGAGCGTCTCATGGTACGTCGTCAAGATGGAGTTGAGGTTGGTTTTGAGAACGCCCTCCGCTAGCGATGTCATCAAGAAGTAAACCAGATCTGATGTGATGTGCTGATGTTTGAGGTGGCGCAGGTCAAGCATTTTGATGTCTGTAATGCTGCCAAGCTCATCGTGCTCTAACATTAAATTGAAGACGCAGACTTGGCCATGACACATGCCCACCCAATCCTCATTTAGTTCTTCAATTCCCGCAGCTTCCTGGGACTTGCTGAGAGCCGCTAGGATCTGGGCCGAATGCGGGGCGAGATCCTTATGTTTTTTCACCCTGCGCATGATGTTCTTCACGTCCTTGGAGGTGTAGGTCGGCTCCATTGGGACGGAATCTACAATTTCGGCCACAGGAGCATACTTTTCTGGCCGCTGGCGCTTGCAACTCAGCGCCACGGCATGGAAAACTGCCAGCTTTCTCACAACCAATTGGGCTGGTTCTATTGCGAAGCCCGTTAAAGCATCGATGTGAGTGAACGATTCTTTCAGAGTCTCGAACAAGAGAAGCGCCTTGACGCCGAATGCATACTCTTCCGGTTTTGGCCACCATCCGATGCATCGTGGGAACAGTTTTTTGTACTCAAAGGCGCTCATTATCGGCCCTCTGTCCTCCTGGTGTTGATGGTCGTGGAGAGTATCAAGGAGCGTCTCGTAGACCAACATTTCCTTTTTGAAGAAGAGCACCAACGTTTTTCGGTGCGGATTGTTTGTACTGACGCCTTTCAAGGGTGTTAGCTTGGCGAAAAACTGGACAACCTTGGCGCATCTACTGTTTACTAAAAATGCAGTGAGATTGCCTTTAATGCCAACGCTGGACCGGAAAAGTTCAGATTCAGTATACTCGACGGAATAGCAGTATCCGGCCGCAAATTCCCTAAGAACGCCTGACTGATTCAAATCCAGAAGGGCCAAATCAAATAGCTGTTTAATATAGGGTATGTCTTCCTGCAAAAAAAAACGGTTTTCAACAGAAAATTGAAGAAGAACAGAAGAAGAAAATTGAGTTCCTGTATGCGAAAGGTACCGAAAGGAAATGTTAGCAGATACACTTACCACGGTCACCGGGAAAGTGGGTAGGACACTGGATGCCATTCTCGTCGAGTATCTTCTAAATTGACGGATTAGGGCTTTCAACCAGTTCGTAGGACGTTTTACTTAGGACAGCCAAGCAGACAGGCCGAACGGACTGTAAAGATTCTGGCCAGGTTGAGCGTATTTATACTCTCGACTACCAACATTTTTCAGTTTCTACAGGATGGTCGTCAACCAATGTGACAAAATTCACTTCCAAAAAGATTGCGTTTCGCGCAAATTTGTCCTAGATGAAAGTTAACAACTTCCGAGAGATCTTGCCTACAAGATTGACCTCCCCTACAGGAGATTTGCTTGACCTCAAAATGCGCCCATCACAGTAAAACTGGTTGAGAATCTTTTAAAAATAAACGAAAATTGTATTTACACTTTGACACCCTGTATCTTGGAATCTGTTTTTTCAAAACTTTCGGATAAGGCAACTTTTGGAACGCAATGTTTTTGACGAAGCATATGTATAGTTGCCGTCAAATAGGAGACGTCCGCTAATAGTAGTTTTCTATACAAGGGCGAAAAAGGACGACGCCGTTTCGACTTCGTCTCGGGTGTCAATCTGTCAGGGGTCGAGGAGCGGATTTTCGCCCTCGTATCGAACAATATTTTTTATTCGAATAAAGGACATAACACGAATAATAAGTTATAATAAATGAAAATAGCCAAAAATAAAAGGCGTCAACTTCATATTTGAAATTTTACGTCAATGCCATTTTTGAAATTGTCATGTTTTGACGTTTTTCAAAAGCGTACTTTTCTAAGCAAATAAAAGTGAAACAATGATTGAAAATTCAAGTGCTGCGTTCAAGGTTCAGGTGTTTGTATAAGCGGCATATTTTGCATGAAATTTCCGCTGTTTAAAAAAATCGTGTTTTGCTTGTGGCAACATCGGCGAGCGCAGAAAAATAGACCATTTGAACGACTTTGGGACTGAACTTGTAACAAAGTTAGAATCTTGAAATTGTAAGTAAACTTTAAATTATAATTAATAGTTTTCAATAAACCTACGTAATTCATTAAAAAAGCATATCGGTTACTTTTTA